CCCACCAACAAGTCTCCCCTCACCTGTTCAGCAGCACTCATCCCCTCCTCCTCCGCCACCACCTCCTCCTGGGGTCCGAACCTCTGCCCCTGAGGCCCAGGGTAGTAGTCTCCTGCCTCAGACCCCTCTCTGCTGGTGGGTTCGCTTCGCTGCTTCTTGTTCTTCAGGATACCTCCCCCCTTCCCCTTGGGCTTGGGTTGGATAAACAGATCCTGCGCTCTCTCCTTCTCCTCCTTGTGGATGTTGTGCAGGGCGGCGTAGCTTTTCTCCGGCTTTTTGCCGTAGTCTTCCTTGTTGTGTGTCACGTAGTCGTACTTCGGCGGGCTGGGGTTCGCTGCTTCCATCGGGAAGTCTCCACGGAAAGATTCGTCCGCGTTACTTCTGGCCGTGTCAAAATTCCCGCCCTGTTGTTGCTGTTGATGATACTGTTGCTGTTGTTGTTGTTGTGGTTGTTGTTGCTGTTGCAGCGACTCCGGCCCGCGGTCGTAGAGCGGGTTGTAAAAGCGGGGTTGTACCTGGGGGTTGACGCGGGGCTGCCGGATGTCTTCGTAGTCCGAGTAGTCCTGGCTGTCAAACTGAACGTTGTCCAACCTACTGCTGGCTGGCTGATACTGCTGCGGCTGCTGATACTGCTGTTGGTGCTGATGATACTGTTGAGGCTGAGGCTGTCGGTAGACGTCGAGAGAGTCGCGTGGGTAGACGTACGTCTGTCTGCCCGTCGTCAAAGTCGCCCCGTCATCATCAACATCGTTGTTATCGTTGTTGTAATTGTTATCGTCATAATACTCACCGAACCCAAGAACCTCACCTCCTCCTCCTCCTCCTCCTCCTCCTCCGTAGTCGAGAGAGTCTTGGGCGAAGTCCATCGACACCATACCACGTGACCCTGCAGCGTACTGCTGCTGTTGTGGTGGTTGACGATATTGACCCTGACCCTGACCTTGACCGGCGCGCGTGTCTTGGTCCAGGGTGAGGCGGGGTATGTGCACCTCCTGTGCGCGTCTGTGAGCGTCCTGTATGCGCGTGCGGAGCCCCATCTGGTACGTGGTCTCTCTCTGTAGGTCTTCCTCGTCGGCCGGGTCGTAGGAGGGGCCTGTGGGGAGGGAGAGGCCCTTCACCGCCGGCTGTTGCTGCTGTTGTTGTTGTGGTTGTTGTTGTTGTGGTGGCGGTTGTTGTCCGTACTGAGGCGGTGGTTGCCTCTGTTGTTGTTGTTGTTGATTGGAGTATGACTGCTGCGCGGCATACCCCTGAGGGTTGCCGTCTCCGTACTGCTGTTGTTGCTGTTGCTGCTGTTGCTGTTGTCGCTGTTGCTGTTGTGCAGCCGGGTTCACATTATTATACCCCCCACCGTATTGCTGTTCATGGGGCTGACCGGAACCGTATCCGTAGTTCCTCCGGTTCCTCGGATCTTCTGGGTACCGATCCGGAACATTTTCCTTGTCGGCGGCCTCCCAGCTGTTGTAGCGGTCGTTGGGGTAGGCGGCCGGGTTCTGCCGGGGGGCTCCACCATACGAGTCGGCGCCGCGCGGTGGATAACCGGTACCACGCTTCTCCCCTCCACCACCACCACCAGCTTTGCTGTAAGAACCGATCATATCCGGATCAGGCCCAGACCGATCCTCGTAGCGGCTCCCTTCCATGTCGCTGTAGCGCACACGTTTCTCCGGCCCAGCCGCAGCGCCTCTCCCAGGGGCCGGGATAGAACTGAACCCCCCCTGGCTCTGTATGGCCGCCATGTCGAGCTCTCTGTAGGTCTCCGCCCGCCCCTCCCCCTCCTCCTCCTCAACTCCCTCCAGCCGACTGCTCACAAACCGGTACTCGTCTTCCTCCTCCCTGGTGAAGGTCGGAGACTCCACGTAGACTTTCCTCGACAGGGGCGTGGTCCGGTTTGAGTGATGTGCGGCCGCTGAGCTGGTGACGCCGAGGGGCGTGACTAGGGGCGTGGCTTGTGTCACTGACGTCACTTCCGAGTGTCGGGCTCGGTGGGAAAACCTGCCGCTCCCCTGCGCCGACGAGTAGCGAGAAGAACCCTGTTTTTGGGGATCCGATTTTAAGACGAACTCGACCGGTTCTTCCGGAATCTGGTCACCCGCTTGAGGTAGCGGTCGTGGATTCGGTTCTAGAAAATCGTCCGGGGGTGCGGATAATCGCTGTTCTTGGTCGCTCACTGGCTGAATATCGATCTGCTCATTTTTGATGGTATCGTCTGAATTCGAACGCTGTCTTTCAAAATCCGGTTTTACGACAAAGTCTCGGTTATTCTCCTCCGGATCCCGGGGGTTGTGATGCGGTGGTGAGGATATCGGCGGCGCAGTTTTGACGTCTGCTGCGTTGTTTGTTAGTGTCGGAGGTTGCTCAGGCTGACCCGAAAGTTCGGGAAGATTGGCGTGTGTGTTGTGTGCTGGATTAGTTCTGTCAGTGTCGTGTGCTGTGTCTGTGTCGTGTGCTGTGTCAGTGTCGTGTGCTGTGTCTGTGTTGTGGGTGGGATTTGATCTGTCTGTGTCGGGTACACTTTCACTCTCCCCGTTCTCGACAACGTTGCTGCGTTTTCCGTCGTTGTCAGCTTGACTTAGCCTGTCGTTGTTATTATTGTTGTTGTTGTCGTTCGCCGTATCGTCCTTTTCGTCAGCTCGGAAAGCAGCGTTGTTGTCGTCGTTATCGACTATCCTACCTTCGTTATTGCTGTCCTTCTCGGCTCTCACCTTATCGTCGCTCTCGATCCCCTCTAGACTGTCTTTCTCAAAGCCAAGGTCAAGGCTGTCTGCCACAACAGACTCGGTCGGCGGGGGGTGACCTTGACGACCCTCGCTCGGTGCCTCGTTTCCTCTCTGCTGCTGGCTGTTACTATAATTAGCGTCACCTGACGCCGGGTGGAGACTGTCCCTGGGTGTAGCGGTGACTGACGATGATGACGCTGCGGTGGTCAACACGCTAGAGCGCTTGGCCGTGTCCCCGCGGGGTTTGAGTCTCTGTGAGGAGTAGGGCGCCGAGAAGCGGGGGTGGGAGGCGTTGTCCAGGTGCAGCGTCCGGTCCTCTAGGGAGTTCTCGAACAATCTGGGGTTGATGACCGCGGAGCTAGAGACAGACGGCTGCGGCGGTTGGAAGGAAGATTTGGATGCTCGGGGTGACGCGCCGCTGTATGAGGTGGTGGGAGGGGGTGGTGGGTGTCTTTGGGCGAGCGGTTGGCGGGTGGCTGTCGCTGTACGAGCAGACGGATCGTCCTCTGAGGTGAGCCGCTTTGTGGGCGTGTTGTGTTGAGAATCCCTCTCGTCTCCGTCTTCTTTCTCAACCTCCGCTCTTACACTCTCTCCGTCATTCTTAATCTTATCCACGCCGGGTTTCTGCTCATTCCGATTGTCATTCCGATTGTCCCCACCCTCGGGTTGCTGGTTCTTCGTTGCCGCGCCGCTCACAGGCGATGGCGGTTTTAAGGCGTCTTCAAACCCGAAGTTCAGTGACTTTCTGGATGGGCTCCGGATCCGTGCGAGCTCCGAGCTGGAAGACCCCGCGCTTTTCACCGTGTCCCGGTCAGACTCGGCCACGTCAGACAAAACAAACGGCTGTTGGTGGCTGGGGCGGTCTGCCTCTCCCTGTGGTTCCCTGGAGTCTTTTATCTCGGAGGGTTCTACTGTTTCCTTACCGTCACCGCGACCACCACCGCTACTTCTGCCAGCGACAACAGCGACCTTCCCAGCTGTGTCGTAGTTCTCAGAATCCCAGTTGACGGACACGTCACGTCTCACCTCGCCAAATCTCGCCTCTTCAAATCTAGTGTCGTTTTTCCCGGCGACAGAATCGTTCATAGAACGTTGTCGCTTGTCTACGTCACCGCCGCTACCTCCTCGCGCCGTACTGTGGGAGACAGAGGAACCGTTCTGTTGCCCGGCCCCTTGCTTGGAATCGTTCTGTTGCCCGGCCCCTTGCTTCAGATCGGACACCAGATATTCCTCGCCTTCAAAATGTCCCGAGTCGGCATCGTCTTTGCTGTCCACTTTCCCCCAAGACACTCTCGCTTTCTCCTCGGGTTTTGCAGATGTCTCAATTGTATTCGGATTTCTGGGTGTCTCAATTGTATTCGGATTTCTGGGTGTCTCAATTGTATTCGGATTTCTGGGTGTCTCAATTGTATTCGGATTTCTGGGTGTCTCAATTGTATCCGGATTTCTGGGCGTTTTGGATTCCTGGTTTCTGGGTGTCTTTGAACCCGTATTTCTGGGTGTCTTGGATTTTGCGCGTGTCTTGTCGTAGAGAGCCGCGTCTGCGGAATTTTCTCGGAGCAGTTTGAGCAGCTCTGGGTTGTCCGTGTGGATGGTTCCCTGTCTGCTGGCCGCGGCCCTGGATGTGGATGTGGATCTAGAGGTGAGAGGACCGCTGTGTCGGCTCATGGTCGGCCCCCGACACCTGTCCGCCCATCACTCGCCGGCTTCCCGCGCTGCTCTCACTGAAACAGTTCAGTTTTAGTAAGAGTTTTACAGCATTTGTAACACGATAAGGTCAAAATATAAGTGTCAAAGATTAGAGGTGTTACAAGAGAGTAACAAACACAAAATAGAAGGAGGGTCGGGGTAAGGTGGGGGAGGGGGGGAGGGCAAAGTGGGGTATATTATAGATAGATAGATAGATAGATAGATAGATATATAGATAGATAGATAGATAGATAGATAGATAGATAGATAGATAGATAGATAGATAGACAGATAGATAGATAGATAGACAGACAGATAGATAGATAAATAGACAGACAGATAGATAGATAGATAGATAGACAGATAGATAGATAGATAGATAGACAGATAGATAGATAGATAGACAGACAGATAGATAGATAAATAGACAGATAGATAGATAGATAGATAGATAGACAGATAGATAGATAGATAGATAGATAGATAGACAGACAGACAGACAGACAGACAGATTCTGCCTGCCATGTACAATTTATGCAGTACACAATTCTAAGCACACATAAACTAGGTCTAATTATTTCATCTTCATCACACCGACAATAACACAAGTGTACAGGTTTTTCACTTTGAGCGATGGTTTTACGGCACTTGCAAGTCACACAATCAGGTCACATCAGTGCCGGGGATTATAGGTGTTGCAAGAAGGTAACACACAAACTGACGAACGTTTTTTTTTTAGTAAGAGTTTTACGGCACTTGTAACACAATAAGGTATTAAAAATCTCCATTTAAAAAAGAGAATTAATAACCTTTAACGCTTTAACTTGCAGCGCTCCAAGGGATGGCACTACGGCATTCCAAAGACAGATTGCAGCATAAGGTCTTTGGCAATCCGGTCGCTTTTCAGAAAATTATAAGTTACAAGTTTTACAGCACTTGTAACACGATAAGGTCATATAAGTTACAAGTGCTGAAGATTAGAGGTGTTACAAGAGAGTAACAAATACAAAAAAAAAAGGAGGGGAGATAAGGACGATAGATGTTTGATAGGAAAGAAGGAGCAAACCACAGCAGAGCACCCACCAACCACCCACAAACAGAAGACATGACGACAGTTGTTTGATAGGAAAGAATTCAGGTCAAACTACACCAGAGCATCCGCCAACCACCCACAGATCACACATAGAGAAAGGAATGAACACAGATACGGTTTATTATGTATCTAGCGTAAACATTATGATTGTTGACAATGGTTCATTTAGACCCATATATTATGAGTATGATTGTTGGTTTGTTTGTGTGAGTATTTCATATGTGTGAATATATAAGATAAGATACGATAAGATAAGATACATCGTTATTGTCCAGACCCTGGCACATTGGTTTGGTGTTTCACCACGTGTACACACACACACACACACACACACACACACACACACCTACACATACACGCACACACACACACACACACCTACACATACACGCACACACACACACACAGACATAGACACACACAGACATACATACACATAAACACACACATGCACACACACGTAGGCTTACAATCACATGCATAATATAACTGAGCAGCAATGCATATGTGTATGTACGTGTGTGTGTGTGTGTGTGTATGTGTGTGTGTGTCTATGTGTGTGTGTGTGTGTATGTGTGTGTATGTGTGTGTGTGTGTATGTGAAATAGAGTGGAGAGAAAGAGAGAGAGAGAAAGAGAGAGAGAGAAAAGAGAGAGAGAGAGAGAAAAGAGAGAGAGAGAAAAGAGAGAGAGAGAAAAGAGAGAGAGAGAGAAAGAGAAAGAGAGAAGAGAGAGAGAGAGAGAGAGAGAGAGAGAGAGAGAGAGAGAAAGAGAGAGAAAGAGAGAGAGAGGGGGGGGGGGCGGGGGTTGTAAAATACTAAACAAATCGTCGGCAGAGAATTCTAACCGTCTAACTCCAAATTTTCTCGAATTGCTTTTTTCCTTAAAATAGATTGACATAACGAATGGCTACGTCCTATTAGAATCTAGAACAATTTTGACAAACAAAAGTCTTGTTTTAAAGAGAAATTCTAACCGTATATTCCGACTGACTTCCGTGACTGAAGAATTCTAACCGTCTAACTCGTTTAGGTAGTCCGCCATTGTGGATCACGGCGATAACGTTACGCTCTGAAGGAGGCGTTTGATTATAAATAAAATTCTTTTTTCCTTAAAATAGATCGACATGACGAATGGCTATGTCCTATTAAAATCTAGAACAATTTTGACAGACAAAAGTCTTGTTTTAAAGAGAAATTCTAACCGTATATTTCTAATTCGTTTAGGTAGCTCGCCATTGTGGAACACGGCGATAAAGTTTTGCTCTGATGGAGGCGTTTGGTTTTAAATAAATGTAAAATCAGAAAAAGGTTGCTTTTGTTAAAGGGTTGGTCGACTGTGTCGAGCCTGTGGAGAAAAAGGAGAGAGAAAGCAGAAGATCGTGGTCCATGAAGTCCCATCTGCGAGTGAATGGGGCCAGAGTCAAAGAGTGCACGGTTTTCTTCTTAAGTCCTGTACTTTGTTACTAGATCTAGTGTGTTCACATTGTTCTCACATGTGGGTTGGGTGTAGCAGAGGGTGAGGTTCCAGTTCAGAGAAAAAGGGTTAGGGAGGAGACTACAGCATCAAAGGTACTTAAACAGTTTCTTCGTGATCTGCCCAAGTTGCCGTCTCACTATTGCCGAAGGACTCCAGTAAGAGTAAGTTATGCTTGGAACCTGTTTTCCAGAGCTTACAGGCAATGTACCGCCGTTTGTATCAAGAAAAGTATGAGTCTTTAAACCTTCAAGTTTAAAGAGAAGATCAATGCTATGAACCTGTCATGGTTCCATCCTCGAAAAGATAGGTGTCATCTTTGTGTGGGCTTTGAGGAGGGGAATGTGGAAGAGGGGACATACAAAAAAGACAGCCCCAAAATCAAATACATGTACATCAAAATGGACCAGCAATCAGTTCTGCTATATCCACGCACCAATGCTTCTGCTTTGTACTACAAGACGAAATTGAATGTACACAATTTCACAGTATAGGAACACAATTTCACAGTATAGGAACTAGAGAGCAAGGACTGTGTATGTTATGTCTCAAATGAATGCAAAGGTGCTCTGACTGTAAATAAATTTGCTCCTTGTGTGGCTGATTTTTTTGTCATCTGATTTGACCCCAGATCATTATATTCAGATGGATGTGGTTGTATCAGAACTGCAAAGTCACAATGAGTTCTGCACTGTTACATTTCAGCTCTGTCAATGGTAAAACTGTAACATTAAAATTCCTGGAGAAGGGCTATACACAGATGGAGTTGGACAGTGCTCACAGCACATCTACTACACAGCTGATTATGTCAGGCTAATGGAAGAAAGTTGGAAAGTGAAGCCATATGTAGTCAAGTATTTGACTCATTGTATCTTTTCTGATTTCATCAAACTAACCAACCAGAGTTTACACACCAGATGGTCAAATTAAATACAAACTGAGATTTGATGATGACTGGTCACATCTACCTTTGAAGCGTGGCGAGTCCACAGACATTCTCCATAAAGACATGAAGGGACTGCCTCTGTACCAGGGTAGAAAGTTTAATTCGTCCATAGAGAACTTTAATAACACATGCAAGAAATGAAGTCTGTTGTGCCATCTGACTACCACAAGTTCTATGACAATCTAGAACTGAGTACGTCACCAGTGCGCAAGTCAAAACCCACGGTTAAGTCTAATTTGACATGCAGTGTATTGTGTTTTGGTTTATGTAGTTATTTTTAGCCAACCAGAGCTTTAGCTTCATTGGGTAGAGCATTTTAAAGCCTCATAATGGTGCTTGGACAAGAGGATAATTCATTCCTGTTGACACTGGATGCTGCTATGGTAAACCTCATCTTGATGACTTTCTATGTAAAATGTGTTATTTAATTAGGCCATACATTAGTTGGGGATGCATTATATGAGGTTTAGTTGAGCTTTAAAAAAATCATATTACTTCTAGAGTCTTCCAACCAAGTTAAACCATGTTTTTAGAGTTAGAAGCATTTCAGTTTCTTCCACTGGAGAACTGATGGGTCGCTTTTCAATCTTGCTCGACTTCGAGCCAAGACCAAAATCAACAAACCAAACAAGAATACGAGACCTTTTCTTTGCCGGTGATGCTGCTGTTGTCGCTCATAATGAATCAACTATACGAATAATCCTGAGTTTAAGAAGATTGAGATGGCTGGGCCATGTCAAGAGAATGGACGACAACCGGATTCCGAAGCAATTTCTCTATGGACAACTTGCCCAGGGAAAGAGACCAAGGGGAAGGTCAAAACTGAGGTACAAAGACATCTGCAAAAACAGATTATCTAAGCTTGGAGTAGATGTCAGCATCAGTGAAGAAATAACCGAGGACAGGAAAACATGGAGGAAAATGATAAATGAAAGAACTATTATGCTAGTGACTAGAGAGCAAGCACTGCGACAAAATCTGTACTTCAAACAGGAAAAATTGGCCATAAAAGAAGCTCCATGAAGACAATTCGTATACGGAAATTCTTCTCTGCCCCCCCCCTCTCTCTCTCTTTCTCTCTCTCTCTCTCTTTCAGACCCCTCCCCCCCTCTCTCTCTCTCAGTCCCCCCCTTCTCTCTCTCTCTCTCTCTCTCTCGCTCTCTCTCTCTCTCTCTCTCTTGTAGCTAGACAAGAAACCAATCCTTCTCACAATTTCCTTGAGAATGGAGGATCAAATAGTAGCTTTATAGTAAAAACTTAACGACGCACTTAATCTGTCGACAAGCCCATTGCCTAATTAGAATTATGTGGAAATAAAGTGCGACGTTCAGTTTTAGATATAAAAACAGTATTATTGTTAGATTCTAGATCTACAGTACTATGTAGTACTAATTAGAACTTTTATAGTAGGCTTCCTGTTGGATTGACTGCAGGTGTAGTCATTTCGAGTTGTTCGGTAACACTAACGTGTCACGATGACTGAGTTAGACGTAACGAAGCGCGTGGCGTCCCCGCCGGGTT